CGGTTCCACGCGCGCCGCGACGAGCATTACAACTACTCGGGCCACGGCTCTTAATCCGCGCAGTGGAAAAAAACCGTGGGACGGATAATAAATAGAGCAAAGTGCTAAAGAGACTGCTGCACTAATATGGGAGCTGTGGAAACTTTTTCTTTCCAAATAATAACTCACTGTGATCGTTGGCTGCATGATCGTCGCGAATTTCGGCTCACTGATCGGTACTGACTGCGGCGAATTTCGCCTTTTCGACTTCTGACTCTGATCCATAGACCATTTCAGCTAGGCATGTTAGTAGTAAGTGAACTACGCCCGACTTCGTTCTGCTTTTATGCACCATACCACCTTATTAGAGATTTCAGAAATGCTAATATAGTGTGACAGAATGATCAATTCACGTGTTTCATAGTACTGAAAATTATGTTTTTAATGAAAATCTTATCAGCGTTGACGTGAGAACAATACCAGATACAAGAATAGACCCGATTTTTTTTTGTCACCACATCCGCAGTCGGTGATGACTTCTATATTTCTTCGATGATTAACACCAGCTCAGTCAAGCGAGCGATCAAACGGTAATGTACATGCATAATTCACTCTATGATACCTTACCATCTCAACAAAAATTGCACTCATGGAACGTAACAACGAAAGAACTCTTTTGGAGTTTTTTCTACATGCTGTTTCACTTTCCCTTTGAGTTCTTGAACCTCGTGGTCGTGTAGCATGGCGGTTGAAGATGCCGTGCAACACGCGCTAGCTGGTTCGAGCTCGAATTGAGACGAACAGGCACTCTATTCGCCAAGATCCTGATAGCAGATTGATATGGTAAAAGTTTCTTCAACCCATAAATGGGAGCACTGCTGGTAATAAGATTTTGAAAACGCTTTGATGCATTTGTGTCAGGATTTTAAAGTGCATCAGTTGCACTAAAGCGCTTAGCGGCAGCCGAAAAATACAAGGCCGGCAACTGGAGGCAGAACCCACGCGCAAATCCGCGGATTTTCATGTGTAGAATGCCTCAGATGTGAGTTTTATTGCTTCGACTCACCTTGATACTCGTTTTGGATTTTACGAGACTTAATCTTTCAGCGCTGTCATGTCCGACATCAAAAATTTGAGAGTCAGTATTAGCCGTCGAAGAGAAGCAGCTCAAGATAGCCTCATTATCGAACCCAACGACTGACAGATGGAGTGAGCCGTCAAGTGGGCATGCAAGTCACCGGCATGCCTGATATTGAAAACTCGGAAACGCGGGTGAGCCATTAATTCCAAAAAGTACGAACCACCGTCATGTCTCACATTCAGGGAACTGAAGATAGTGTTGAGTCTGCAATCGCAAAAGTGGAAGATATTCTTTTCCACTTACACATCGACGATGAAGTACTCTCTGAGGAACCTAAGAATCTAACGATAACGAAAACATGGAGTCGGCCGTCGCAACTAGCAGCTCTCAGAATAGTGACTGAGACGACGGAGCACCATCTAAACCAGCCAACACCGGCGCAGTGGGTGATTGGTCGAGTAGCGTGGTGACGCCTAGTCCCGAAAAGTTCGATGATGGTCGAGTTCGCATGCAGAATAAGGCATTCCGCGACTGCCTAGATCCAGTGGACTTCTTCGAAGTTTTCATGAGCGGTACTGGGAAGTGCTTGTTTAGCAGACAATGTCTACGGTCACCAAAAAAACTAAAGATTGAAAAGAGATGACAATCGACGAATTGAAGACATTCATTGCCTTGTGTTTGAAAATGTCTATCATCCGACTGCCACAACTGAACGATTACCGGAGCAGTCGTCCGGGTCTTGTGAGAGTTTCAACGGAGTCACATATCATGCCGAGGCATCGATTTCAGAAATTATGTCCCATCCATATGCAGCCGACAATGACGAATCGAACGTAAAGGACAAATTGTATAAGATAAGGCAACGGACGAAAGTAGTGATCAGTATCTGTAAGGTTGTATACAGGCCGGGAAAGGATGGGCGCATCGACGAGCCGATACCATTTAGAGAAGAACTAAGCGCCGCCTGTAAGTTCCTGGTAAAAGGAACAGGGTGAAAGAGAATACACGTACAAAACAATAGTCTGCGCAGGCGCGGACACAACACGTAAATCTAGCGAGCCCTTATGACGGGGTGGAGTCGGACACGCCCAGGTTGGGCCTGTGGAAGTAACCGGTAAAATTCAATTTAGCTGACAGTCACTGGTCACATAATCTGAAGAAACAGTGGCGGCCCTGGTAACGTAGCGGGAGCACGTGCCCGCGGAATGGGTGAAACAGGGTTGAACTCCAGTCTGGGGTCAAAAGTTATGCATATCACTTAGCATCCTTGATATGAAATTATAACATCATAACACTGCTACAAAAGAGCTAAAATGAAAGGTTTTTGCAAATTATCTATGCTGCAAGTATTGGCAAAAAATGCAGCGGACATCAAAAGCATTTTTTCAGCAATTGGAATTACTTTCATTTAACCGCTTCAGCGGTGGTATAATGTTTCAAATATACCCACGCAAAGCACCTCTAACCACTGCACCACATGTGTTCTTAAGAAAGACGGTTAACGTGGAATAAATCTAATAACAAAATATTATGCACTTCTCTCACATGAAGTGACTGAATTGACGAGGCTGCGTTGCGTATTCCTTCGTGGCGGGTGGGCCGGAAAGGGACGAAAAACGATTGCTTCAGAATGGTTCTAAGAAGTGACATTATTTCTACATTACCAAATTGATTCATACTTCCCGAATGCGACCAATTATTTGAACATGGACAAATATGCGCACTAGAATTCTACGCTCGATTCGGCAAAAAGCTCACAAGTAGACGTCTATTGAGCTGACAAGAAATTTCACGGACTTTCTCGCTTTTGTTGATCATTTTCAGGCATTTAAGGTGGTTTTTATTATCATTTATGGTAGCTTCCTGTGGTTATTTTGATTCATAACACTTATATTGGGGCTATGAGGGGACAAATGAAAAACCGATCTCATTCGCTGGAGAGGAACTTCTCATAGGAGTGCTAGTAAGCGTTCGAAAGCTAAGGCTTCTGGCTACAGCACCACGTCAACGGTTTTTGAAAATGCTTTTTTTTTACGTTGTTGTAGAAGAAAAATCCTTGCTCTTCAGGTGGGCATATTTTAGTCGAATAGAGCTCTTTCTTTAGACTATTAGTAATCTATCGATAGCGTAATCGTTTCTAATTCCAGCACTGTGCTTATTTACGGAGAAGTCGTTTCTCTGAAACGCAGCAGGTAAAATATGTTATATTCGCTTGTGTTAGCAGGGAGGTTTTTGGACAATTCACGCGTCTAAGCGTGAGGTGTTTACGTGAACCGCTGACACGACACTTTTCTACGCGTTCCTATGTCCGAAAAACCGATGATCATCGCGTAATAGAACGCGGCTGCCTCAGCCATCCGCACGTAATTGCCCAAAGACCTCGTTAATCGCAGAGAAGATTTCAACTTATTTTAACTGCTGCGTTTATGAGAAGCGGTTCTTTCAAGATATAAGCACAGCACTTGAATCAGAAATGATTACGCCAACGAATGATCACCAGAAGCTCAAAGAAAGAACTCTGTCTGACGAGAAATATGCGCGTTTATAATACAAGTAATCTCAATTTGTAGCAACGTCGAAAAAAGGCTTAACCGGCGACGTGGGACTGTAGCCTGAATCTCAGCTTTCGGATGATTACTGACACTCCTAAGAAAAGTTTCCCTCCAGCAAATCAGATCGGCTTTCCACTTGTTCCCAGATGAGCGAATAGTACCCTTACACACTTGCTTTAAGATGGATTTGTAGCGCGATCAAAAACCATTATTGATACTGCACGAGTATTATTTGGGTTCAAGTGCTGCTTTGAGACATAAAGATACTCGTGTAGCATCAACAATCGTTTTTGCTCTCGGGGCGATTCAATCGTGAAACAAATGCATAAATGTATTAATCAAAATAACCGCAAGAACTTGCTCTAAGAGATAGTAAAGACAAAAAAATTACATGGATGAAAAACAATCAACAAATGCGGTAAATCAGATATCATTTTATCTGACCGCCTATTGCGCCTAGGTTACAATAAACCCAGTGATGCAGAGTGGCATACAGTAACGTCTGCGTCAGCTGGGACTTGAACCCGATTTTACTCTTTCCGGGAACGCCTGCTGAACCGTTGCACTATCGAAGCTCGTTTTGCACACCTCTCTTTCTACGCTACAACGCGTTATCTGTCAACAGCCAACCATGTACCTATTCAAAAAGACTTCAATGGACGATGGATGCTGGGAAACGAATCAGAGTCAAGAACTGTTAAGACAAACACAGTAGATATGAAAGACGGGTTAAAAGGATAAACGATAACGCTCTCGGCGTTGATCAATCCATGAGGGCTGCGTCATCATTATTCTTCAATCTTTAGCTTCGTTTGAGGTGATTGGAAGTAAATTTGGGCTTCATTGACTCGCGGTGGCCTACAGAGTTAGTGCTAGGTATAGATATCTTCCCAGACAAGTTTGAGGCCAGTCCAGTACCAATTTACAGACCCCAGAGGGATGAACGGCTTGATGAGCCCTAAGCGCGAGATCGAACCATCGATCTTGTGCGCGACACAGAGCACCTCTAACCACTGCGCCACAGCTGTAATCAAACAAGCATCTACGGTCTGGCGCGGGCAGTCAATTACGGCATTGAGCTCACTTATGTTGACAGAAATTGGGTTTCAGTAATCAATCAGAAATCATTTTATCTGACCGCCTCTTGCGGTGTTTCTTTGTTCAAGTCCCCGCTGATGCAACTGATGCACCACTCTACATCATTGAGTTTATTGCAACATCATAACACCGCAATAGGCGGTCAAATGAATGAATCCCGACTGATTATTGATATCCAAAATCTGATAGCATAAGTGGGTTCAATGCCATGCGGATGCTCCACCAGACCGTCGACGGTTGGCTGTTGACAGATAACGCGTTGTAGCGTGAAAAAGTGCTGTGCAAAACGAGCGTTGGTGGTGCAACGGTTCAGCACACGCTCCCGAATAGAGTGAGATTTGATTTCAAGTACCAGCTGATGCAAACGTTTCTGCACACTACATCAAAAACGGTAAAGTCTGAAAAATTTCTAAGCAACTCAATACATGCGACTGGTTGATGGGACTTCTCGCACTGCACGAGCCTAGCGCATGAAGGTGCTTCAGTATGGTCAAATCTTAGCACTGTAATTCCTGCAAAAACCGTGCCAATAGAGAATCTGAGAAGAAAATTGTCCCGAGGAGAGCCCTCTACGAAACGTCAACCAAAACTATTCTGAAGAAAGACTTGATAAGAAATCAGCTGTGGGAAAATACAGTGGAGTAACAGCAACATGAACGAGTGCAGAGCAACTAATAGTGAGTGCTGGCTGCTTCCTGGCATGCTCAGAAAAAAAGGTTCAGCCGTAAAACAAAATAGGTGTTGTGCACTCACAGATCGAGGGCGCCGTGATCGAGTTGTTGTGATGTTCGCCGAGGCGCACTCTCTAAACCCCGCCCTCAACGCTCTCCGGTAGGCAACAGCAGCGCTCTATGGAGCGCCACAGCCGCGCTATCCTCAAGATGGCAAGCAGACGTGCTCAACCGGCATTCTGCGATGTTTCAGAAGAAGACGAAGAGAACGAATTAAATGCTAGAGGTACTGGGGATCGACACAGTGAAGATAAACAACACACTGTAAGACAATCAACAAAGTATGCAAAAGTACTAGTAGAACAAGAGGGCCCCGGTTCACTGCATTGCTTGTGGCGGTTCTTATGTCAAAACTCGACTAAAATCTCGGATGGAAATAAGCCCTTGCTAGCCTGGAGAGGTTTACTTACATTTTCAGTGGGAATATAGTTCAGCACCACAAAGGAATACTTGTATTCTCAAATTCCATTGATCGCTCTACTGCTTACTCATGCTCACCTTTCCTCGTCATTGTATAATATGTCAAGCTGAAAATGAATTCTTTGAGAGTAAATCTGTGTGAGGGTAGCGCAGTGGTCAGTGAGACAGTGCATCAGAAAGAGGTAACAAGCACTGCTCTGGTTCGATTATCTTCTCAAACACTCTTTTACAATCAATCAACTATACGCCTAGCAACGCCTCAGCTCGGATACCCTTAAGCATGCAAGGAGAATCGTCTGGAGCAAATTCTACGGCATTCATGAAAAGGACGGAATAGTCACGCAACAGCCGAAGCAGCACGTTAGCACATTAATCTGTAATGACGAGTCATGCAAAAATTGTGAAAAAAAAACATAGATTAAAGCACAACCTTTTAAGAGTAGACATCTTCTCTCATTACATCAGCCTTTAGAGCCGAAATCCTCGCCCAACATTGATGGGGTGGTGTGCTTGCACGCAACTTAGAAGAAATATCTGCTACCAACACACTTCATACTTCCTCTGAAAGGATGTAGGGCACTACATTCCACAGCCATGGAGAATACGATGACCTGGTTCGACATGAACGGGAGCAGCATTCTTAAATTTTCTTGAACTTGACTTATTGCACTGCTCACTGTAGATATCATACCATAAAGTACAACTTTTAATTCCTGCTCAATCTTTTTTCGGCTGGATAAGATTCGAAATGCAGTCACAGGAGTACTGAGGTACGAGCCAATTTCAGAACCTCAAGTGGGTTTCGAATTTGCGCCTACCCTCTCTTGAAGCTCACGTAAAACTCACCGTCAATGGTGAAGTTTAATTTTTTTCCAGCCATGTTTTGAAGTTAGAGTAGCAAGGAATCACTCGTCAACAAAATTGATCAGAGGAGCATAAATCTCATTGAATCCATTTGAACTGAACCTAGATTCCAAGTTTTACTCGTATCTCATCACCTCCCGTCGATTCTCATTGATGGCTGCCCTTCTACAGTCATTAACCTCTTCCAGATACTACTACTATCTACTACGAAAATCTAATTGAAAGGAAGTCTAAAGAATTTGTCAATCAAGTGGTCTAAATTATGGCAATATCACAACGTCCTAAAGTAAAACTTTCCTACAGATACATATCAATGGTTTATTTGAAACATCATACCACCGCTAGAAGCGGTTAAAGAAAAGAAGTCATATTTGATCATCTGATACCCAATATCTGTCAGGGTGACTGGGTTGAATGTGGATACCGACTACCAGAGCCAGGCCGTTGAAGGCTGGCTGCTGACAAATAGATGAGCTATAGCGTAGAAAGAGTGGTGCGCAGAATGGGCGCCAGTAGTGTAACGGGTCAGACCACGCGCTCCCGGATAGAGCGAGGTGCGGGTTCTAGTCTCGCCTGACGCGAAAGTTTTGCACATCACTCTACATTACTAAGCATATTTTTCAGTACTGCGTGAAACAGTTAAAAAACCGTGTAGTAGCATATCAGAAAAACTGAATCATACTATACTGCATATTGGAAATGAATAAAGTATCACTTCTGCAACACAACTGACCGCGGGGTAAGGGAAATTGTGCGGACGAGGTACAAGGAGAATATTACTTGGACCTTGAGCTAATGAATGCCAAATGCTTTTGGGATTGTTCGCTAAACATTCACTGTTTCTACGTTGAACAACAGAGTGTGTAACACCGATAGATATGGGCACACAGACAAGTGGCAGTGGACGACCTGATTTTGGACTGGTAGGTACTGGAATTCACAGAAGGAGCAGCAGGCACCCGAGAGGCACTAGCAGCTCTGGGTTTTAGGACAGGGCCTGTCGACACACCTATAATTAACTCCATTCAGTTGTGGCTCTGTAGAATATGAGTATATATATGCATACATAAATATATATATATATATTTGCATATGTATATATGTTCATATACATAGAGGATTCTTTGTTGATAAACGAGGGCACATGAAGAAACGACCCCTTTCGCCTTACAAGAACTTTCACAAGCAGATTGGTAAGAATTTAAAAGCATAAACCTCTAACCAATGCGTAACGTTGTTTCTTTGAAAAAGCCCATTTTACAATGCTCTAGCACTAGAAATAAAACTATGCTTTAAACGGCCGCGCGCTTTTACTACCATTTCATTTGAAGAGCGGAAAGCATATGAACGTGCAGAGGAAATTATGCAGTCTCAGAGTCATGATTTTGTTTCTTCTCTTTCTTCTTTCTTTTCTTCTTTCGAAGCGGAGGTAAAAATCTCAGATCAAGTAACAAAAATTGCGTTCCACTTGTGAGACGCGTCAGCGCCATTGATTAGTCGCCGTTAGTCCACGGCTAGCACGTACACTGGACGACAAGCAAATGCATTTCGTATGTAGACCCCGATCTTACTTTGGTCTGTTGTTATCTGATCTGTCTGATGATCTGTAGCTTTGGTACAAAATGGGCTTTTGAGGACACCTAAGGCTAAAAACAACGAGGGTATCTGTTCAAAAAGCTCATTTTCCCGGATCCTCAGCTATCTGTACGACTGTGAATAGCTCAAAAATCATGGGGACTCGTATCAACCAACATATTAACTTCATCTTTGAGCTAGAAAGTGCCAGATAGCCCAAAGAGTTCTCTATTGAGTGGTTGATAATCCTCTAATTTTGAGCTTTTCGATCGAACGGAGATTTTCTTCAGCGAACGACGACACGATATCCTGAAGGAAACGTTGGTCGCTGCATATCTGCAAAAACATGTGCACTTCATAGGTAGAAATTAGTGCAAATTGGACTCCCAAAAGTAAAACATTTAGCAAATATCCAAGGATACACAGTTACTTGAATACTTCGGCTGACCGTTTTCACGTAATATGCGGACCCCAGCACATTTTCCATTCGTCTCTTCTTCTCGCGATAGTTGTCCACGGTGGTGGTTTAATTCAAGCATGATGGCTAGAGCAACTTTCATACCGTGATCTATAAAATATCGGCAGCTGCGAGTACAGCTTAGTAATCCATATGACAAACATGTACGCCCAACGTGTAGGTGGTCGTTCTCAGGAACGAGTGTAGTCACGTGGAGTCTGCTCTACAGATACATTTTCCCAATTGTCCTTTGATCTTCTTGCTATATGATCGACCCATCTGTTTTTCGCTATCAATTTAAATTCTTCTGGATCTTGAAGATAAGATAAATCCTTGAGATCTGAGCTGCGCAAGCCGGCTAGATGTTTTGAGTGCCGACTAAATCTTGGAAGACAACGTTTGAGCGCTTTGTATGTTGTTCGCAGTAGTTTTGGCGCAGTCGAGATATTATCCCACGTCTCAGCCGCATAACAGAGCTCTGGGAGGGCAGACGAATCAAAACGGTGAACGCGGAATCGGGAGTCCTCCATCTAATCGCTGACATCTTTGAGAGGCCCCAGTATGGCCCATCCAGCTCTTCTTCCTCTATCTAGTTCCTCCTTCATGTTGTTCGCCATGTTCACTGAATGTCCAACGTACGTGCACGAGTCGGTCTCCTTGATCACAGAACCATCCAATTCGCTATGCTCACCTTCGCACCATAGATTCTTCATGCACTGTGTCTTCGTCCTATTCAAGTGCAGCCCGAACTTTCTTCCCGCTTGTGAAGATCGTTGAGTACTGTCTCTGCTTCACATGCGCTTTGAAAAGATGACGATGTTGCTCGCAAAATGAAGGTTATAGGAATTTGCCATCAATTCGTACGCTTTCTCAATCGTGACTGAGCGACTCCATCGTGAGTTGCAGTCAGGCGGTAAACAGCTTTGGCGAAATAGTGTCGAAACCCTTTTCCGATGTGTGCGATGAGCGGTCGATGGAGCAGCTGTGTTTTCGTGCTACAGTTTCGATTGCAGTCTGCTAATTTCGTATATAAGACGAGGCTGCATCTTGGTCGAGGAGCGCTGATAGAATTGCATTCGTTTCTGCAATGTCAAACGCCTTTTCACATTCGACAAAGGCTAGAACAAGAGGCGTATGGTATTCTCGATAAATTTCAATGGCCCGTGATACGGTTTGGAATGTGGTCCATGCAATAGAATCTCTTACGGAATCCTTCTTGTTCAACTAGCTGCGCCCTCATCCAAAACCGGCGATATGCACAAAACGGTGGCCTTTAGGAAGAGCATGTAGAGTACACTTAACAATCTAATTGAACG